TTGTCCCTCTCCCTCTGTGGCTACGCGGCTGATTTCTAGGCCATATGATCACCACGGAGTGAATATAAGTTGATCTTACCAAAATGGAGGCTTTATTGAAATGGGAGAGGTCAAGTAATGTGAGAAGCTATAAGCTTTTTGGGGCATGCAGGTTATATATAGAAAGAGTTCCTCATATTGCAGCTCCATTAACCCAGCCAACAATGTCAAATGTTGAATTTGTACGTAATAAGGTATGTAAAAGTATCCGGGAGTTGAAGTACCGATTCGCAGCAATTAATGCCTATTCTTACATGTACTAGAGGGTGTTTTTTTTTATTGAGTGATGCCTCAAAAGAAGTCCCCAGCATGAATTAATATACAATGGGAAGATATAGAGTAGTTATAAATGATTGTTAAAATCGCAATTCTGACTCGTAAAATCGTGCGATTTTGCAATTCAACAGCCCAAATCGATCCGAATCACAGAAAAATCTTGGCTTCTGTAGAATCGTGAGTTGAATTGCCGGGATCGTATGTAGAATCGTGGAATCGTACGATTCTATACAATCCCAACGATTCTGAATTATCCATGATTGTGGTCTTGTTTTGGGTTTAAGAGTTGTGAAGAAACCCTAAACGATTACCACAGTGCAACAATTCCTTCTCTTTCGCGGCCTCCAGCACAACTCCGAGAAGAGATAAGATGCAGAGGGCAAAAAGAATGCTAGGATTTTGGTGAAAAAGAAGCAAAGGAGGAGGAAAGAGGGAACAAGAGGCTAAGAGAGCTTACCTTAAAAAGACTAGAGGAGTTGCCGCTGCCGTAGGGAATTGCAACAGGGGAATTTTGCTCTCTCTTCAGAAGGCAAGTTAACTAGGTCAGACTTGCCTAAAAAAGATTGGTCTTGGGCCTTATACCATTCTTGTGCTCTATTGTGTAGATGGGCCAAATAGGCTTTGTAAATTTTAAGTTTTTACATTCTATGTTTTTGGTAAACAGTCGCCCGGACCTGGTCACTGCGACCTCCTTTGTGAGGGGGCACCCTTTCTCCCGAAGTTATGGGGCATTTTAAAAGAATCTGTTGTAAATTTTAAAAGAATCTGTTGATAATTTTATATGAACTTATATATATATATATATATATATATATATATATATATATATATATATATATATATATTTGTGTTTTTGGCTCATTTTTTATTTATTTTGAACATAATTTTTGTTGAAAAAGTTAGTTTGAGTTGTATTTTTATTAATTTGATAGAATCTTACTATTTACGACTATACGATTCTGATTCTACGGAATCCAAAGCGATTCTAGGTAAAATTCTGATTTTAACAACCTTGGTTATAAACCACCTGAAAAGTTGGAAGAGAAGAATCGGTTATTGACACCAACAACAAATTGGATAATGCAGGTTGAAGAATTCAAATGTTAATGATGAGATAATTAACTTCAGTTTGACAAACAATTTAAATTTCAAAAGAAGTTGTAGATTAGGATAGTTATATCTTTGTAATAACATTTGATAAGATTAGATCTATGTTGTAACTCTATAAATATTGGAATAGTTCTCAACCAAAGATAAGGTTGCAGATTCTATACAATACATTTTCTACTCCATTATATTTCTTAGAATCTGTTTATCTTTATGGTATCAGAGCTTTAGTCAGGTTTTGATTAGCCTGATTGCCTCTTCTTTGTCCTTCACTTGTCCTTTCATAACACCTCTGTTGTTCCAAAACTGCAATGGCAACAACAATTCAATCCAATACCGTTTCCAAATATCCATATCCCGCCTCTCTAAATGTGGCGAATTTTGTGTCAATCAAATTAACACATTCCAATTTTTTGATGTGGAAAACCTAAATAATGGGTCTTATTGACTCACAAGATATGCTTGGATTTATAGATGGAAGCATTACCATACCAGAAGCCAATATCTCTAATGACATCAATCCGCAATATAATCCGATTGTCTGCTCCGCCGGATGGATTACAGTGCTTATGGCGGTAATTGGACTTGCCACTGCCGGTGAAGTATGGAAGACTCTTCTTGATTGTTTTGCTCAAGACTCTCAAGAACGGGAATTTTGTCTACAACAGCAACTTCGCATGCACCGCAAAGGTACCTCAACTATGAATAATTATATTCGAATCTTTAAAGGGATTTGTGATGATCTTGCTGCAATCGGTAAGCTCGTAAATGACAACACTAAGGTGTTTTCATTGCTTAAGGGGCTTGGACCTGGTTATGAGTCGTTTGTTACGACTATGTTAAAACCACCAACACCATCTTACAAAGAAATTGTGCCACTGCTGCAAAGTCACGAGACCATAAAAAATCTTCATGATAGTGAAGGTTATGGAATCACCAATCACAATGTCGCCTTTCTTAGTTAGCGCTATATGGGAAATAAATCCCTTCAAAGAAAGGATCAACAACAAGGATCATTCACATCAAGAGGTCGTGGCTTTGCCCAAACCACCTTCACACCAAATAGGAATGAAGGTTCTATTACTCAATATGGCAACAAAAATGAGAAGTCAGATCACTCAAAGCCGCAACAAAAATGTCCCAAAAAGGAAAAAGGAGCTGTTTGCCAAATCTGTTATAAGCCTAATCATACCGCCGTTCGTTGCTGGCATAGGTTCAACCAAACTTATCAGCTAAATGATGTTCCGCAAGCATTAGCAGCATTATTTATTAGAATGAATGGTTTCCAAATACTGGTGTAACTTCACACATGACGGACGATCCTGGTAAGCTTCACTCCCGTGTTCAATATCCTGGACCGGAAAAAATAATGGTCTCATGTTGGCTCTACATCTCTTAGCACTAATAATAACCTTTTGAAATTGGATAATATATGTTCTTGTTGTTCCAGAAATTAAGCTAAATTTAATTTTTGTTAGTCAGCTAACATCTGATCAACCACATATTTTTGAGTAATCATCGAATGGATTTGTGATAAAGAACAAGGAAACAAAGTCAATAATAGTAACGGGGCAGAGGAGTGGTGACTTATATGCACTAAATCCGAACGACAAAATGGCACTCTACTCCACTCGATTTCGAGTTGTAAGTGGTGACATTTGGCATCAAGACATCCTCAAATGCAAGTTGTCGACTATCTACGTAAAAATAAATTAATCACTAGTACCACTTTTGATAAAGCCATATGTTCTGGTTGTCAAATGGCTAAAGCATGTCATTTACCATTTTAAAAGTCAGATGAATGTGCTATTGAAATGTTTTCTAAAATTCATTTGTGATTTGTGGGGACCATCTCCTGTCTTATCAATTCAAAGATTCAACTATTATGTGGTATTTATTGATGAATCCACACGTTTCACCTGGTTTTTTCCTTTAAAGCATAAATCTGATTTTGCTCAATGCTTTATTGACTTTCACAAATTTATTCAAACCAGGTTTGCCAAAAGAACTCAAATTTTTCATTCCGATGGGGGTAAATTCCCCGACAAAAGTTTTTGTCGTATTTAACTAGTAATGGTATCACACATTATATGTCATGTTCACGTACCCCAGAACAAAATGGCTTGGCATAGAGGAAGCATCATAATATCACTGAACTTAGGTTAACTATGATGTTTCATGGCAGCGTACCTAGACGCTTTTGGGTCAAAAGCGTCTAGCACTGCAGTTTGGTTGATAAATCGGCTTCCTACTCATGCGTTAAACATGAAATCTCCTTATGAAAATTTATTCAAGACACGTGTTTTTGGATCCCGATGTTTTCCATATTTGAGAGATTATGCAAAGACAAACGTTGATCCGAGATCACTCCCATGTGTTTTCCTGGGATATTGTCACCAATACAAGGGATATTGCTGCTTATATCCATTATCCACCTACTCAGCGCATTTATATTTCCCGACATGTCGTTTTTTATGAGACCACATTTCCATTTGGTGATCCTGGTAGCCTTTTTTCAAATGTAAATTCTATTGCTGACTTAACCATTTTTAATGATTGGTTTCCAGGTCTTATTAAGGATTCTATGAAAAATTCACAAAATGAGTCTCCACCTTTTGAAGGGGCACGTTTTTCAACTGATGGATCAAATGAAGTAGATGCACCATCTACTTTGGCACTGCCCCCAACAACTTGAACAGTCCATCTTACCACGCGTTCCAATTGATGAAACAAATGAAGTAGTTGCATCATCTACTTTGGCCATACATCCACAACATGAATAATCTTTCCAAAGCAACTGTGAAAATTTTGATGGGTCTTTTTCAACAGTTCGGGAAACTAGCTCTAATCATACAATGGTTACGAGGCTTAAACAAGGAATATTGAAGCCAAATCCAAAATATTTTTTAGCCACCAAAGATGTTCCTAAGTTGCATTCTGATGGCTCTCTTGAACGCCTCAAAGCACGTCTTGTCGCCAAAGGTTTTACACAAATTCTGGGGATAGATTTCATTGAAATATTCTCTCCTTTTATAAAGCCTACGACTATCTTAATTGTCATCACTATAGCCCTGACCAAAAAATGGGACATCCTTCAATTGGATGTTAAAAACGCATTTCTCCATGGCCATCATATTCATGAACCTGTTTTTACGGACCAACCTCCAGGATTTAAAGATTCAGAAAAACCAAACCATGTGTGTAAGCTGAAAAAGGCATTGTATGGTCTTCGTCAATCACCACGTGCGTGGTTTGATTGGTTTAGTACTTTCCTTCTTGGAATGGGATTCTTTTGTAGTATTGCTGATTCCTCGCTCTTTATTTGTCATAGTAAACAAGGTACTTTGCTCTTACTGTTATACGTTGATGATATTATTCTGATATTTCCGATTTCTTGAATTGGTTCATTCAACAACTCCACACGGAGTTCTCTATGAAAGATCTTGGTTACCTCCATTATTTTCTTGGAGTTGAGGTACAAAAGTTTCAAGGTGGATTGTTCCTAAGTCAAGCCAAATAACGCATATGATTTGTTAGACCGAGCACACATGAAAGATTGCAAGCATATATCTACTCCTATGGTGGCTAAACTACAAGCAGCATCCCAAAATGATCCTTATCCTAATCCTCAATTCTATCGTAGCGTTGTGGGTAGTCTACAGCATCTTACATTTACTAGACCCGACATATGCTATAGTGTTAACTATGCCTGCCAATACATGAAAAACCCAACAAATTTTCATTTCCAACTTGTTAAACGAATATTACGGTATATTCATGGTACTATTAATCATGGTTTGCGATTGTTATCTAACAATCCTATGGTCTTATATGGGTTCTCTGATGCGGATTGGGCTGCATGCCCCACCACTCGACGATCCACTACCGGTTATTGCACATTCCTTGGTAGCAATTATTTCTCTTGGAATGCCAAAAAGCAACCCACTATTGCCCGGTCTAGTGCTGAATCAGAGTATCGTGCTCTTGCATCCACTGCGGCTGAATTAACTTGGATTACATTCATCTTGCAGGACATTGGTGCCTATCTACATGAAGCGCCGATGTTGTTTTGTGACAATATTTCTGCCCTTCACATGACAATCAATCTCGTCTTCCATGCCCGAACGAAGCACGTTGAAATCGACTATCATAATTTGTTCGAGAAAAGGTAGCGCACTCGTTTTATTCCTTCTTCCAATCAAATTGCCCATATATTCACAAAACCATTATCGCGGCGTTCTTTTCATGCCTTGCGTATCAAACTTGGCCTTTGGCATGCTCCTCTGCCTAGTTTGAGGGGGACTGTAGAAGAAGCGGTAATTGACAATAACAAAGAATTGGATATATAATGCAGGTTGAAGAATTCAAATGTTAATGATGAGGTAACTTTAGTTTGACAAACACTTTAAATTTCAAAAGAAGTTGTTGTAGATTAGGATAGTTATATCTTTGTAACAACATTTTATAAGATTATATGTATGTTGTAACTCTATAAATATTGGAAGAATTCTCAACCAAAGATAAGGTTGCAGATTTTATACAATACATTTTCTACTCCATTATATTTCTTAGAATATGTTTGTCTTTAAAAACTACCCTGCCCATCAAGTAGTGACGTGGATTATAAGATTTAGGCTTTTGAGACACACAGAGAAACACATTACAGCCAAAAGATACCTTAATTTATTATTTTATTTTTTTAATAAAATCTTAAACCTTTTTCTGTAAGGATCACACACAAACATCAGCTTTTTGTCTTTTATACAAGTTCTTTAAGAGGTCCAGTACCACCGTGGTCAACGAAAATAAAAAGAAATATGTATAATTGGATCCTTGTATAATCTGGAAATTTGAGTATTATCATTTATTGCATTAAGAAGTTAACATTAGAAAGTAGATCTAATTTAAGTGTTTGATATGGGCTAAATTCTTTTCAAGTAGGACTATAAATGAGTCGAGCCAAGTTTGGAGGTGTTTGAGCTCAGCTCGACTTAGCTTTGTATGTGTTTGAGTTTGGCTCGAGCTCAATCGAGCCTAGCTCAATCGTGATCGAGCTCGGCTCGACATTACTTAGCGAAGCTCGAGTTCGACTCGAGAAACTAGTTTATGACTATATATATAGTCTCCATATATACATATGCATACACATGCACAGAGCACGTGTATATACATATAATAATAATTTTACAAATATGGGAGAGCAAAAGAGAGAGAAAGATCGATGCGAGAGAGAATTTTTTGAGAACAAAGGGGAAAATGGAGAAACATACATTAACCGACTTGAAAATCCAACTGATGTGTTTATTTACCTCGACTGGATTTGCATTCTAAACTTAGTTGGGCTGGACTCTTTTTGGGCTGGGTTTAGTTTTGAATGGTCTTTAGAAAATTTTGTCTGGCTCGAACTCATAATTAGCCTTTAGGTATATTTTAATGTTATTATATATAGTTTTATATTTGTTTGCGAACACAATTATCACCTTTGTTCACGAACATATTGACAAACAAAGGAGTCGAGTAGGAGGTTGTTTGAGATTGCTTCGTTTATTAATCAAACTTGAAAACTTTGTTTGAGACTGATTAATTTATTAAACAAATAAAAATGAACCGATATCTTAACGAGTCAAACTCGAACTGTTCGTCGAATGTCTGGGTCATTTACAACCCCACTTCCGAGTGCATAATTATCATGATCTCCTTATAATGCAAATCCAGTCCAGGTAGTACTGTCCACGGGCCGCATCATATATTGTGCCTAAACTCAATCTGGCCCATCATTGGGCCCAACCGGACAGGTCGGATGCTCGATGATGACTATTCAATAAAGTTGTTTCCAATAATATTACACTGTTACTCCACAATTCACAAACAATTATCCTAATTTTGAGGCACCGTAGTATATATAATTTTTAGAATTATGAATCATCAAAAGCATTCTTGATTCTTCTATATAAAATCATTGTGCTCATTTACACTCGGATTAGGCTAAGTTCAGTTTGGGCTTGGCCCAATCCAATCTAAGCCCACTAGTAAAGGAAAATCTGTATAAATAAAATCTCAACCCAAAGGAAACCAACACCTTTTTCACAAATTTGAGGTTAGGATTTTCCAAATATGAGAAAGTATGTCTCGTCCATGATAGGATTATCATTTTCTGGACTGCCAAACAAGGATGGAATGTCAATATTTTTTGTTATTTGTATATGTTTACAACTCTTTTCAAAATATTCATGTGAAAAGTTTAAATTATTTTTATACAACTCTAGAGTGATGGTAGATCCCATCACAACATTGTATTGGGATCCACCAGCATTACGAATAGTCGTAACCCGTAAAAACTTGGAGTCGGGCACTAAAGAATTTTTCATTTCACATAAATGACTAGTAAATTTGGGTTCTTGTTTAAAAAGTGAACTGATTTGAGTGAACTAACAAAAATATATGGAAAAAAGTCCCAAATATGCAAGTTGGAGTGTTTATTAATTTTTTTTTTCATTGGCATAGAAATTCACCCACCTATTTACCCAATAAGAACTTCAACTCTCACCATTCACTATAAAAGATATATCATTAAGTTACAAGTTTCTTGATAAACAAGTCCGAGTTAGAGAGCAATCACATTATCTAAAATATTATCAAAAGTTCGGTCAACTAATTCCAATGTAAACAATGCGACAAGCGCAAGATAACAACCTCTAATTAGAAATAAACTGCTAGCTAATTAATGCCATTATTTAAGCAGAAACAATGGACAAGAAATGTAGAAAATAACAAGCAACACGAAAATTATAAAGCAAATTAAGACCATTATCTACAATTAGTAGAAGTAATCAAGGGCATTTTGGTCCTCCTCTCTTGGTCTTCCAGTTATTGTAGCAAGGGCAAACTTGCTTGTTCCCATATGTGCCTGGAGGCACACACAAGCACTTGGCACAGCACTTCTGGCAGAAGAACATACATGGCTTCTTGTACGCCGTCTTCGAGCACCGGGTGGTGCACCGCGGTGCACATTCTGCATGCCAAAGTTACCCTGAGCTTCAGTCACACATACGTGTGTGTGTGTGTGTGTTTTGTGTGTGAAAACTACCAATTACAATATTGTTGTGAATTGTGTGACCCACCTTGAGGACGAAGGCTGCCTTGTGTGACACCATACTGCAACCAATATTTGCAAGTACAAAGAAAAGAATCATTAGCCTTGAAAAAGCTTAAAATGCTGCAAATTAATAGGTTTTTGTAATGTTTTATATATATATGTATATGTATATGTATATATATATATATATGTATATGTATATGTATATGGCCTTACCATTTGATTGTTGCCTTGTGACTGTAGCTGTGAAACTTGAAGTTCCATGTTAGAAGCCTACAAACCCCAATTGAAAACATTAAACAAGATAAGCTCCGCTACCATGCTAAAACACTTTTGAACGTTTCAGTGCCGAAAACATAGAAAATATAAAACAATTTCGTTTTAAAAAAATGTATAAATATTTTATTAAACATCATTTTTGTTATTTTTTTATTTTAAAGGATTGACAGTTAAAAATAAAAAATAAAAAATAAAACTTTTCACATTAGTGAACGTGCCCTTATACATATATATATATGCACACAAACACACACGCTATCTTTTACCTGCAGGTTTTCTGCTAGCAAAACAAGCATCAATACAGAACATAACGTGAGGACACCTAGCTTTTCTGCCATTGCTTTTTTATATTAAAGAGAGAAAGTGCAAGTAAGGAAGGAGAGAGAGAGATGTGTATGGAGTTGTAAAGGGAAATAAGGGTTTTTATACAGTTGGATCTAGATATATTACAAAAATATCAAGCACAATATTGAATATGACATAAAGCAACCTTCGATCTTTGTAAATGACAATACTACCCTTTATCATGAGGAACACAAGTCAATGTCTCTAGCTTTATTTTTGGCCAATACAAACCTTTGCTGCATAAATAGTACTATTTCACAGTCATAGCTAGACATGCAGCTTTCAATTATTTCAGTTATAGACATGGTGGAGCCTTCAATTATTTAATACCACTTTTAATTTTCAACTATAGACATGTAGCTTTCAATTATTTAATTCCACTTTTTCATAACTGTACCACAAATAGGCCTTGCAAAAACCCAACCAATGAACCAAAGAGAAATTCAAAAATCCAATATTAGGAATATATTTAATAAATACACTGATTTTTAATAATGGATTGCTATTGTTTATTGAAAGTGTGACTAAACTAAACTACACCCAACTACATTAATCAATAGTGATTGAAGTTGATGGCAAGGGAACACTTTATCAAATGAAAACACTTCAAATATGGTATGTGATGATCATGGTGGTGGTAAATCTAGGGTTTTGAACTTGCAATTATTATATGAAATGGAGTATATCTAAAATGAATCCAAAGTTGATATGTCATATCCATATTTGAACCTCAGAATCCATATGCAACCAGTATAATGTGCAATCAGTATTTAATACTCAACCCATATAATCTAAACTCGATTCATATTACATCTCAGATAAAATCCAATTCATTTGTGTACGTTTATGTCCGACCTACATTTAAGACAAACATTTTAAGGAAGATTCACATTTCTGCCCCATTTTAAAATTCGGGCTAAAATTATACTCAAATTTGATGCAATGGGTTTATTAAATCAGATCGGATCTCGGGTCAAATGTGTACCTTTTGATGAGCCCACTTGCAAAAGGGTAAAATGTTCATGTTGTTAAAATTTGTGGGGGCTTCAATCTGTAAGGTTTCTTATCTCATCCATGTGCAGATGAAAATGTGAGAGTGATGGAAGGCCCGTAGGCATGTGCAACCACATGCCCATCTTGTGCCATAATGGCACCTACCAATGCTGGGCGGACAAAAAGTAACTAAATGCCCACGAAAATGAACAATGTGAGGTCAGTGGTGGGTACTCTATCAATGTGCATGAAATATATGGTAGTTGCAACATGTCGGAGGTGTTTATCTCTCAAATGCTTAAATTATTGGATAGTTCTATATTATAGGTCATATATGGTTAAGACTGTTTTATCGAATCAGTTCTTGGCTATATGACCAAGACTGTTTTATCAGATCAGTCCTTAGCTGAGAGTAGCTACGGAAGAGAGGAGATTTCACAATAAGTTTTACAATCAGTTCTTTCTTGAGTAGTCTAGCATTCCACAGGATTACCATTGTTATAGCTCTACTCCAGACAGGACCCTCTAACAACTCCTCTCCTTTGCCCAAAATAGTTTTTGTTGCATACTTGTCCTACACGCACGCGCGCGCATGTGTATAAGTTATAATTGAGATTAGCAATGGTCACATCCTAAGTCACATAAAGTGATTGCAGGAGTGAAAGCGAGAATGAGAACGTAAAAGTAGAAAAATCTATATCATACAGAATGGGAGAGGGAACATAAATGAGAGCCCGTATGGTGTGAGAGAGACTTGTGTCCTTTTTCCTTCATGTTCATGGAAGGAATAGTGTAGGTAGGGCCTTCCTATCCCTTTATTCTGTGTGTGTGTGTACACACACACATATAAGTTGTTGTAATTGGGGCTAGCAATGGTCATGTCCTAAGTTACATAAAGCGAGTATAGAAGTGAGAACGAGAATGAGCACGAGAACACAAAAGCGACAAAATCTAAATTATACAGAATGGAAGAGGGAGCAAAAATGAGAGCCCATATGGTGTGAGAGAGACCTGTGTCCTTTTTCCTTCATGTTCATGGAAGGAATAGTGTAGGTAGGGCCTTCCTATCCCTCTATTCTCTTCTCAACTAATCGTTTCATACGATTTATGTGCATTCTTGAATGTGATTTTATATATATACATATATATATATATATATATATATATATAGAGAGAGAGAGAGAGAGAGAGAGAGAGGGAGGGAGTTTTCCAATAATTAAACACCAAGCTTAGTACAAGGTTGCTAAAGCTCAGCTTTTAGTTTTTGTGCATTACCAATTTACCCAGTCTATATCTCATCTACAAGTGTCAAGGATAAAAGACTTAATACTTGACATTATAAATGAACTTAATTTTAAGTGATACAAGTGATTTGGACCCTGCCCAAATTCTATCTTTGGATAATTATGCCTTGATCATGTACGAGGAGAATGGTTGGAGAAATAAATTAATCCGATTTAGACTAGAAAATGCTTTAGTTCTATCGTATTATCACCTGCACTTCCACATAGGGGCGACAGGTTCGGGTCACTGTTGGGGGCTACTGTGACAATTGGATGTATTTGGTTACCTATGCCAGTGGGGAAAAAATCTGATTTTTGCTTTACAGTACAGTAGTGTCATCCATTCTGCCACATCTAGTAACTTATGAGCGGGTGGTAGAGATTCCAAATTTAGTGTGGGTTCTCATCACAATTCGGGGATGTCAATTAACTAATCTCATTTCCCCACCTTCATGGCGATGATAAGTTTGACTCTCCACATTTTTAAGACAAAAACTTCCTTAAAACATCACTTATCTGTCATTTAATATAGCATTATTTGAATCATCTAACATATACCTATACATATGTTTACACCATAAATATTCTTTCAGCCGGAAAAGTTGTCGTGGCCAATTCCAATTGAAAAGGTGATATACAAATAAGGTGCAATCATGAAGCAACACATGGCCTCATCCAGTGATGGAGCCAGAATTTCAAGTGAGGGGGGTACACTGCCAAAAAAAAAAAAAAAAAACAATACGGAGTACATATACATATACATATATATATATATATAACAACTATAAAATTCAAAAAGACCAAGAAGAAGAAAATTATCAAAATATAAAAGAAAAGAAAAATGAAAAAACTTTAATAGGAAATAGTTAAAAAGTTTCAATTGAGGAAGAAAAATTTTACTTTTTCTATTAAGGAAATTTAAGGAATGTGAAGAGTAAAAGAAAAAATAAAAATATAATTTTAGGAACTACAAATTTGAGAGGGGGCACTATATAAATTTTTTCATATATATGGAAAAAAATTTTAAAATTACCACATATATTATAGGTTGCTGACCAACTCAGGGGGGGCACGTGCCCCCCCCCAAGGCCTTCATTGGATCCGTCCCTAGCCTCATCAAAATGAAGCCATTTGGTACAAGACCTGCAGTTAGAAAGACATGACTTTTCAAGTGGACACGTGCCAAACATCTGGAAAGCCATTTGTACCTTTAACCTAATCATCAAGAATAATAACTTTCTCACTCCTATAATATCTCCTAGTTTGTAGGAGTCACTCCAAAAATAAGGCAACTACTTGCCTTATTTAAGTGAGGAAGTTGCTAAAAATCAGCAAGTGGGCTGAAAACATGATGCATTTACCAAAGAAAGCTGAGGAAAACGTGGGACACGTGGCATGATCTGGACCTTCCAGGTGGAAGTTCTCAACTACTGTTGGAAACCGCCGCCTTTCCATCTGGATAGTTTCAGATCATGGATAAAGGCTTACAAGCATGCATTCAACTGCCAAAGACCACTATTTATCCGTTATAGATCATGGGAGAACATATTCTTACACATATCAACACTATGAGAAGATTAAGGAAGACATGGGATACATGGCACGATTCGAAACTTCCAAGTGGAAGTTCTCAACTACTGCTTGAACTGCTACCTTTCCATCTAGGCAATTCCAAAACGTGGGAGAAGGCTTACAAACATGTATACAACTGCCAAGATCACTATTTATCAGTTGTAAATCATGGAAGAATATGGTTTTACACTTGTCAACATCAAGAAAAGGCTGAAAGATCATGGGACACTTGGCAATCCGAGGAAAGGCCAAGTGTAAGCTGCTAAACTGTCACATTTCCAACTGCTGCAAAGAAACTCTATAAATAGAGCACTTAGGCTTAACATACAAATCATGTTCAACACACACAACAAATAGCACCTTATCTTTCAATTACATTTCATGTATCCTTACAGTCATGTAATGTACCTTCAATATGTTTAATTCAAGTCATGCACTTATTATTCCTACTTTTCAGCATTTTACTTTGAAATCATGCACTTTCAATACCACACTTCTTTCCACTACCCATAGAGTAGTCCAGAAGTCCTTTTTCAAGGCAAATAGAACCACCGAAGGTGGTAATTCCAGTCCTTTGTACAGTCGCATGATCCCTGCAATCTCCTACTGGGTAATTGTTCAGAATTCCATTTTGGAACGACAGCAATTCCTGGCAAGCCTGACAACCCTTTTCACTCAAGTAGAAGGCGGAACTCTCTAGCTTTTTTGCGAGCCGAACACATATATAGTGCTATATCTATATATCTTCATCTCCACCTTTATTGCTACCGTTGAACATTGCAGGTCTCCTTTGTAGGTTGTCGCCACTGCCGCTAGATCTTTCAATGGATCAGATTTTGATCTGAATCCAATCCAATCCAATTATCCTGGTATGGATTGAATAAAAAAATTGATAATTCGATAATCCATTAGCTCAATAAATCGAATATGGATTATAGATAATCCAATCCAATAGTGATCCAATCTGATTAAAATTATATATATATATATATATATATATATATATATATATATATATATCATTACAATATTCTACATTTGTATGTTATATATAGGGTTAATTACACTCACACCCCCTGAGGTTTGCTCTATTGACAGTCAGATGAAAGATAGCCTATTTTTAAACAATGACACCCCCTCAAGTTTGCTCCGATTGACAAAGACACCCCTTAGCATTCTGACATGTGATAAAATGACTAGAAAGCCCTTTAACTTGTCAATTGACCCAT